CCGCTCGCCGGGGCTGGTCCCGGGGGCGCCGGGGAGCCCCCTGTGCGCGGGGCCAGCAGGATGTCATCGTCGTCGTCCTCCTCCTCCAGGTCCTCTAGCTCGTCCTCCCCGGCGTACGAGCGCCGCCGCCGCCGCCGCCGCCGCCGGGCGGGGACAGCCAGCCGGGTCCCGTCACCGCCGCCCTCGTCGTCGTCCTCCTCTTCCTCGTCGTCTTCGTCCTCGCCCTCCCCCACCACGTCGATGTCTGTCTCCTCGGCGAGGCCGGAGGCATCGGACATCTCCGTGCTCAGGGTCATAGCTGTCGCGCGGCGGCGGCGAGACGGCGCATAGGGGCGCCGGGCTCTGGGCTCCCGCCGCGCCCCAGCCCGGGTCCCCGGCGGCGGGCCCGGCCCCGGGACGCCACGCTGGGGGCGCTGCCGCTGCTCGAGCTGCGCGCGGGGACTGCCCGGCGGCCGCAGAGGCTCGCTCGGCGACTTTGTAACTCCTGCGCCGCCGCGGTTGCTCGGCGGTCTCTGCGCTCCTTGGCTCCGCGCGCGCCCGGCCCGGGCGGGGGACTTGACCTTCCCTGCTCCGAGCGCCCCTGGCGGGGTCAGTCATGCAGGGGGTGGCGGGGCCCCCGGCGAGCAAGTCAGAGCGTCGGGCGCCGAGGAGGGTGCGGGACGGGTGAGAGAGTCTGGGGACAGAGCTCGGCGAGGCGAGGGCTGAGTCCAGGAGAGGGCGGACCTTTCCTCGGCTTATAGCAGAAGGAGGCCTGTCACATGGTGTGCACGTCAGAGCGCTACAGAGGGAAATGGAAGAAAGCCTAGGAAATCAGCCCAGCTCTGGAGAGAAAGTTCACCCGTAGGAGGGAGCAGGAACTGGGAAGAGAAGGGGAGGAGAGAGGACCCCAGCATTCCTTGCCAAAGGGGCTGAGACCTGAAGTACGGCCTGGCTCGCGCTATTTGGACCCAGGGCCGCTGCAAGAGTTAAGAGTTCCCAGCCTTTTTCTCTTCAGTTAGCCCTCAAACCTAACTTCAGAAGCATTCCCGTGATGCGACGGTTTGACCACTCCACGGCCTGTAGGAACCGTCCAGCCGGAAGATACCCCCTCCCCCATCATCTGAGGTGGTCCCTCGGAATGGCTCTGAGGTCTGTTGGGTTGTCGCATCTCCCCTACATTGGGCTAGCGGCTCCTCATCTAATCTGATGAGAACATCCCCGCGCCCCCCCTTACCCCCCCCCGTTTAAGCACAATAATTGTTTATTGACCTTTTAACCTGTCCCCTTCGGTTCTTCTCCAAAGACGTTTGTTTTCCACCATCTGTTAATAAAAATGCTGTTAGGTTGGCGTTTTAGTCACTTATCTGCAATTGAATGCCTTAGAAACTTGACAGCTAAACTAAGCCACTTTAATGAGAGGATCTGAAATTTTTCATGGGAATAAAGAAATAATTCCTATGAAATAGAAACATTTTAGTGAAAACCCAGATACACACACCAAAAATGCACCTAGGAACGACTCGGAAAAGTTATTTCATAATGGGGTAAGGGATTCCGTAGTTATCAGTAAGAGGAACATTCTAATCAACACGGTAATCTCAAAATACTTAAATTACTATATGTATACACACATCTCTTAGTAATAGAAACTACAAAAATAATAACTTTCAGACCAGCTTTTTAAAATGTTTTTATTTTTAATACACTAAATAGTCCCAATAGGTACTGCTGAAAAGAAACGAAATATTTCAAAAAGAAGGTTCAAGTTCTATTCAACTAAATTTTTCTTTTCCGGTGACAAGGTAGTGAACCGAAATAATTCAAATATGATTCTCTTTTAAGTACACCTAGCTTTGTCACCAACCCTAATTATTTTGGCTAGTGGAAAAATCCTAATAGCCTGTGGAATTCACATAGCCATACCTTTTTTATTTTTGCATTTCCTAAAACACTTTTATTTCAAAGTTAGGAACTTGCTTCAAATTTTAGCTTCCTGATTAAAAGGACCACTTGACAAGAATTGAGAACTCAATGGCTTTCTATAAGAATAATCATCAGCTGCCCGTGTGTATATCATTTTATCAACCAAGCACTTTCCACGTTTTGAAACGTTTCATTTACTCCCCTTATGAATCACAGAGCCTCAAAAATAAACTGTTTCCCCATCTAAGACTTCTTTTAAAATCGGGTTTTTGTTGCTGAGGACGGCTACCAATCAGTTACACTTACAAATGACCCATAAAGTCCATCATAGATCTTTGAAAGATCTATAAGAATGTCTCAAAGTTCTAAATAAATTATTTTTCATTGACTCGTTTGATATATGGTTGAACCATTTAATTATTGTAATGGGCTCAGGATTAACCTGAGCCAACATTAATCAGCACTATTAATCAGGCATTACACTGATTTGTTGATGTAGCCAGGAGTCCTTACCAAAGGGTTCACTTTTACATTTGAAAGTTTGTTTTATAAGTACTACTCAGTCGATATCTAAATAAACACCAAGATTTTCACTGGACTGAGGGTTGCTGTGTGGCGAAGTATTTAAAGATGAAACGGAGAGGAAGAGTTTGTTCGCCGACAATTAGTTACTTCAGATGATCAATTATAGCCGTCATTCCGTTCTTACCACCTCCCTGAACTTGTCTGGCCAAGAAGAGCGCAGAGATGGACTTGGCGTTCCGAATGTAGCTGTCCGAAGGTTCCTCCTCAAAGGGTTAAAGGGCTCTTTCCTGGAAACGTTTTTTAAAATATGTGGCAAATTATCTACTGGCCATTCAGGAGTAAGTGTTAGGATTTACTGAAGGTCAGAGCGAAAGATCAACCCTGGAGGACCGCTGCAGGGGCAGAGTGTTAACAGAGATTTGGGTGAGCTTTACTAAAGCCCCACATTTGGGCACTCCATTTGCTTTGTTTGCTTTAGTTAAGCTACACATTTGTATGTGATTTTTAGCTCTTCGCTAACGAAATTCCCCGAGCGCAGAAACCTAAGCGTTTCATTCCCCCTGCAACCTCTTTCGCCTCCTCGTCCCCCACCCATCACTCTTCCTCCCAAACGTGCACCCAGCTCTCGCCCGCGGCTAGGAAATAGCCACCCCTACCCCCCTTAAATTAGTACAAGGACGAGACACCTTTCGGTGAGGCGGGCCGGGGACGACACAGCGACCCCCTTGCCACGCGCCCGGCTCGCGTGGACGCGGAAATCCGCCAGGCTCCTGCCGCGCTGGGTTGAGACCGCGTGGGGGAGGGCTGCCCCCTGGCGGCGGCGCGGCGCCGTGTTTGCCCCGGCGCTGGCCCGGATCCGGAGTTGACCAAGCGGCCGGTTCTTCAAGTGAGGCCAGCGGGCTCCAAGGCTTCACTCGCCCTGAGTTTAGGGCGGCTGGGCCTTTTCCTTTTTGAGGCTCCACCTCTCCTTCGACGGGGCGACTGGGCGGGCGCGGAGGAGTTTCTTGGACTACAGGTTGCGGACAGTTTGGGCGCTCCAGGAGCTCCCCCAACCCAACTCCGGGGGTTAACGGAATTACAAACTGCAGGAACCAAGGAGGCTGCGGGACTATTGGGAGGCGCTGCCTCAGCTCTTTGCCCTCGGGCCGTCGACCGAAAGCTCCATAAGGTCCAGGGGCCTCCGACGAGGGGCGAAGACTGGCAGAGACCTGAAGGTGTCAACTCCCGCGGCGGAAACCAGAACAATTCCTCTCTAGCCACTAGCGCGGCCCAGGAATTTACCCATGAACGTGAACGTGTTTCCAAACTTGGTGGATACTTTGGGCAGCGTCCCTCCTGGAAGAGTCATTCCACAAGCATGTATTCAGATACTACTTTGTGCCTGGCCCTCGGTTCTGGAGAGAGAAAGAATAAAACTCGGAGTCACTGGTGTGAGGGTGCGCACAGTCTCCTGGGGAGAGCCAGATAAATAGATAAGTATGCCCAATGATAAGTGCTTTCTGAGTCCCCCAGAGGAAAGTGAGCGCTGCCTCCGGGTCCCTGCCGATGATCCTTGGCCCCGTTCTTTCATTCCTGC